ATAACTCAGTTAATATCTATTATAGGCCACTTGTGATCTATCTTTAATCTCTATCTTATTCATCTTACTTGCCGTATGACAATCTCAGCTTTCACCGTTTCTGTCTCTTGAATTTCGTTTTTTTTTCGAATCTTGTTTTATTAACACATAGTGTACGCTTTTATTTAATACATCATTAAAAATTATAGTTACTATGTAATTATATTTTCTACGATCATAATTGATTAATTATGATCAAATTAATAAAATAAAGAGATAAAATACATTTGATTATTAATTTTTGTGCAGAATAGTCCGAACTAATAAAATTGTTCGAATGGACCAATAAACAACATACCAGGAAATTATTACCAATCTGGCAACACCGGAACATATATATTTAAACTTTAACTGTGTATATTAAATATTAAATTTTTGGAAAGGCATTTTTAACCTTATGACGAATCCTAACACTTAATCTATCGTTAAATACTGACAGCTAAAGGGGTTATTTAATTTTTAAAAGTTTTAATGTTAAAAAAACTTATCTTAATTGACACCATAAAAGGTATGTGCTTTTTCGTGAAAGGGGTTCTAATATTGAGTAAGTGTCGATTACATTATAGATATATTGAATTGTCTTTTTTTTATAATAGATTACGTATATTTCTTTTGTTTTAATAATATTCAGTTAGATTTATTACATATCACTTAGGCTTTACTCGTATAATAAGCTCGGTAAATGAACAAAAATTTGTTCTTGTGTAGACATAAGGCAGAATATTAAAGTGCCAAGTAAAGTGACTCAATTGAAAACGATTATATCCTGATTATAAAAAAGAGAACAAAGATATCACGTTTAACAACTAAATTCAAATCGAACGCATGTAAAATGAATTAATTTGAATTTCTAAGATTTATGTGCGTCCTTATGTCACAATATAACAATGTCAGTTTAATTATATGTTACACGAACAAACACTTCTTTAAAAGTAGTATTCTATACTTGTTTTTAAGGGCAATATCTTTTGTCTTAATCCTATCGACATTAGTGATCTATATTACATAAAATATAATACTCTAATATACCTCAGAAAATTCAAACTTTGTCTAACTACTGTTGTTTATTTTAGGCCACAGGTTAACATAAATATTGATTTCTGAGTCAATTCGGACGTTTTTCGTCGACTTTCTTTTAAAAATATCGAGTAAAATAAATTTTTCTGTTTTTAGGTAGTCATATGATTGATGCAGCCTTTTTTTGTTTTGTCGTACAAATAATGATTTTATATAATATACGTAGTCTGTTATAAAAATATATAATAGACAAAAAATTTGTGCGATGTGTTATTAATACTATAATGATATTGAGTTGTAATACTATGCAGTAATTTGTTGTATCATACTAGACTTAACTGTACTCGAATAACATTAAAATCGTCGATATTGTCTAGTACAAAAATATAGTTAACGTTAAAAATACATGTATTTGTGAATTTTAAAAATTTCTAAGACTTAAAACAATTTTTTACGTAGTAGCAGTAATGTTTTCTAAATTAACAAAATATCCATGTTGAAGACTTGAGATTTTTACAGTAATACATGTTAAATAAAGGCAGTGTCTAGTTGGGAAGAGTTTTCAAAGAAATCTATAGAATCTTAAAACTACCTATAGAATTATTAACAGAGTCATAATATATATCGAGGAATCGAAAAAAAAAAGGTTGAAGTATTTTCTGAAATAGTATTAGCACTAGTTGGGATTTTAGTCACTTTCAAATGACTTTTATAGACTAACATGTCACTCAATTTAATAAAAATTTGAATACAATCTATTTATAAACAATTCTCGTATTGACAACGATGATGACATAAATGTCTTTCTCTGCTAAAATCGCTGAAAAACTAGCCCTCTGCATTTAATTGTAAAGCACATAACTATCTGAATTACGTTTTTTTATTCGATGGCTCGATATTAGAGTGCTCACGCTGTAGAGTGACCAGTTTTTGACTAAAATCAGAAAATATTAAACAAGTAATAATCAGAAAATTATTAACCAATGGAATTACGTCAACGTGTCATATAGGTTCTTTTTGTACTTATTTCATTTCAGTATATTCAGCATCTTCTTCTGATTTACGACTTCAAAATTCTATTAATTTTTTTCTTGTATTTTTCTTTTTTATCGTGCACCACTAATTTATGAAACGTTATATACTACTGCTACTCTGCCAGCTACTCCAATTTATGTTTTGTTTACACCTGAGAATAAATAGTCTGCACAATTCGAGCTAGTATCGTTAGAGCCTTCAACCACATGGTGTCTAACATGGGGCACCATGTCGCTGAGTGGCCTTGAACGTGAAATATTTATTTCGCTGACCTCTTTTTTTCATTTTAAGTGGAATATCATCTTCTGAGGTAGACTTGACAGTACTACGTACGTCAATGTCTTAGCCGCTGTATGCCTGAGGTCAAACTGTCACCCGGTCCCGGTAGTAAGTTAGTTCGTCTAGGAGTAGCTTCCACTGAAGTTCCACTGGTCTAATATTTAATTATAAGACATCTATACTATCGTCTGATCATAAAATTGTTTATGACTGAGAGGAAATGAAGTAGTAAAAAGCCCAAAACCTACCAGATTTTTGCAGAAGGATGGATCTCAATGAAACTTTTTGTTTTACAATGAGTGTTTGTTTCACAAATTTTGTAAAGGAAATTGATGATGTAAAAATGAAAATTTTTAAATACATTTTTAAATAAACAATGGTCTTCGATAGAGTTTTGTGGAAATTTGATAAAAAATCAGTGCAAACTCGTTATTCGACAGAATTTTGGGGTCGCTGATCACAAATCTCATAATGGTGATAGTTTTAGATGTACAAACTTCGAGAAACATGTTCTGAGTACAAATGGATTTGGACACCATCGCCGACATGATATTAGTGTTTAGCGACCCCAAAATCCCTGAGTAACTAGTTTGCATTGATTTTATATCGAATTTCCAAACAACTGTATGGGACGAAGCCCAGGTGCACCAGGTGCATCCGATAATAGCGCCATTATGATATACATGTTCGATAACCCCAAAATCTCCTAATTTTGGATAATTATTTTTGTCAAAAATCTTCAATTTAAAAACTTATCATTTGTTATCACTTAGAAATGCACTTTTTAAAATGAATGTTTCTTATTTAACTTGTTCAATGATGTAATTTTCATTTTAACATTATTGTTTGACTTCTGTACGAATCGAATGCAAAAAGTTTTATTAAAAGAAATCGATTATACTGGCAAAATTTGGTCGGTTTATTGCTTCATTATCTATCTTAAAATGGAAAAGCAAATTTTTGAGATAGTCCAATGATGTGTGTCTATTTTTCATTCCAGTTAAAACTACATTTAGTGCGTTTTTTCCGTTGACTAATTTGATGTTATTTTGAGAGTTTCAGTTGTTTGGTCCCATTGTTTAGGCTGTGTATGCTGAGCACTTCGGTGACGACGTATTTCGTACGTTGTCCTCAAATTGAGTCATTACATCTACAATATATTATTTTATAATATACTATATATTAAGTATACTATAATCTGTAACATATTTTGTGATCCATTTCTTTCGAGTATGTTTCCAAGTGATGTTCTTTTCCTTTTTTACTACTCCACGAATAGTTTATTGTTATAAACCGTTCATTTAAAAAGCAACCAAGGTATTAATAAGTTCTAATTCTCTGAAATGTATTGTTATTAACTGTGATTTCATCTTGATTGCTATTAGACTCGAGATCGTTGCTCACTATTATCCATTTTATCTTTTGAACATTTAGTTTTAATCAAAATTCCTTTTCCTTATATTTTCTGGCATCTTAAAGTTGCATAAAAAATGTTGTAGTCTTTATTATAAAACAGTTAACTAAACCAAGACCAGGGGGGATTTCTAACAGACCAATAAGGTATTTTGCAAAGTAATACGTTATGGATAATGTTTGAATGAACAGGGTTCTCAGTATCTTTTTATATAAATTAATTGATATGGTGAATGTATTTGACTCCACTACTAGGACTAATCTTTCGAAAGAGATAAAAGGGTTTGAAATATCTAAAGACTATGTATGATAAGTCTGATATAGGTTACCGAGAACTATTAAATTGGATACACGAAGGAAATCTTTTTGATCCTATTTTGGTAACATCTTCTTTCTCTATAATTATAATCCATTCATTGGCGGACTATTACCTCTCTGAAAGATTGCAACTAATACTTTTTATAGAATTTCTTCGTTAGTACCCAATTAAGATAGTCTAAACACAATGTTAACTAGTTAGTGTAGAACCTATTTGGTACCATATTGCCTTGCTGGCATCAGGTAAAATCTGGAGTTTAGATATATATGTGATTCATAACGACAATTAATGGGAATAGTTTATAGCCGAAATAATATTAAGGGGCTAAGAGAATATCTGAATTCAGAAATATAACTAGTTGATCATTAATATTAAACAGTCAGGATTTGGGCTCGTAGGTGAGTTATCGCCTCAATTTCTAAGATTTTGCTTCCCTTGGGGAAGTCAAAAGTCTTTTAAGTTACAGTGAAGATCATGCTATTAATTTATAATTGCACATCAGTCATACTTATTCAAGAGGCATCATAGTATTATTTTTTAAACGAAGAATGTAGGCATAGTGAAAAGCCGCAACGTTATTAAAATATTCGTTTTTGTAAAATTCATAACTGAGGAAACCGATACACAGTACTAAGTATTTGATTAATATTTTCTGATATTTTTTGAAAAGTTTTATTTAGTATCCAAATGAAAGACTAAAAAATATATTAATGCATAAATTGCATTGCATCATTCGGACTTATTATAGCTGAAAGTCCATCTGACTAAACTTTGAAACTAAATTAATCTGAAAAACAAACTAAATTTTCATAGAATCTAAGCGTTTAAATGGTAAAACCAATTATTTAACATATTAACTAACGAATTTATGAGTTTTAAGGTGAATGGGGTGTAATAATTACAAATAACTTTCGCTAAATTCAATATCTGACTGACTGCACCTCGAGGATCTAGTGTACACCGAGTGCCCTCCGCCAAATGCCGAATCGGAAGTTCCTGCGTCGGTGATGAAATCTGCGACTATGAGACAGTCCTTACCTTGTGTGATAGTAGATGGCGTTAGCAGTCCACCTTTTGTGCCGCTCTCTTTTTCGGCTATACGATCTTTAAGAAGTTTTATCTTTTCTTCTTTCTAAAATAAAAGAACAAGATATTTAGTTTAAAAAAGAAGGAGTTACGAAAATTAGAAAAGCGATTTATAGATACGATCACATTTTTTTAGGTAAATTTAGGTAAACATATTTACTCTCTTTGTTTTGACTATAATATCTATTGAGACAATTAATTTTTTTGCATTGTTATTCTATCTAAATACCTACCAAATATCGAGTTAATGCAATACATTAAGGCCAATTAAATTCTTTTAGAATAGAATAGTCTTTAATATCTTCTTCTTATTCCTTCTTGTATGTAGACTGAAAATCCTGTTTATTTTTCGATATAAGCCTCCTAAATTGTTTAAATTATCGCACAATCTTTTTTTGGTTTGCCAATACTTCTTCCGTAGTATTGTCCAAATGCAAGATCGAGACTTAGACAGCCTTGGTCTTGGTCTTGCGCCAATACACCATGTCTTGGTCTTGGTCTTGGTCTTGGTCTTGGTCGTGCAGCAAGAGTCTTGCAAGTCTTGCAGTTACCCATTAGCCTATTGGTATTTATTAAACGTTACTTTAGATCTTAGAACAACGTAACAAAGTATGTACATTTTAAGCTTAAATTAAATATCCATAATAAATACCAACCAAATTAATAAATGTGATTTGATGCGTCCTTAAACCTGACGTGTTTCTGTTTTTCAATTTCATTTCAATCTTTGTATATTGGCACAATTTACATAAAGCAATTTGGGATGAGAAAACAAAAGAAAAAGAGGAAGACTACAAATGAGATGGACTGCCGATCTTAAGAGAACGGCAGGAAAGGACTGGATGCAGATCGCCCAAAATAGAGACCAATGGAGATTAACAGGGGAGGCCTATGCCCAAGAGTGGGCGTTTAAGGCTGATTAGATAGATAGATAGATAGATAGATTTGGGATGCATGAATTATTTCGAAAAACTCATCCAATTTGCTTTTAGATCTTTTAGATCTATAACTCCAACTCTCATTACTATTTGAATCTTCGGCACCTTATGTCAAATTGTAAACTTGTCACTCCGGGAACAGCAAGGATTATATGAAAAAAAATTATTAAATTAGACTCGAAGGAAAGCTTAATTGTGAATGAAGTTTAGTGATGTCGAAAAAGTAACTGCTAGTTACTTTATGTTTATTACTATCAAATACAAGTACCAAATAACAAATCGAGAATTATATGTCGTTACTTCGGTACTTTTAATAGTTCGTTATTTTGTTTACACGGTAGCCGACATTATTACTTTTAAATATTAGCCTCGCTATTTCAGCAAATTTTGTTAAACTGAATGATCTCATCACACACTCAGCAGAGAGGATTTAGTCTTAAGCCGATAAGATTTGTTTATTTAGATTCCTCCCAACTAAATTAGAATAGGAAAAAAAATTGAAGTATTAAGTGAGTGTCCTTAACAGTTATATTTTAATGAGCTAAAGTGACGTATTTTTAAAAAGTTTCGATACGATATTAATGTCGGCGTCGAAATGCAATGCAAGATTATTTTATGATTAAAGGACGACTATTCCCAAAATCTGGACAATTAAGTTCAGAGCGAAGAAGTCTTCTGCTGGGTAAAAATATATAAAAAAAAATATATATTTTTACATTGTAATTATGACCTCTGAGCAAGCGTCAAGTATTCTTTTAATATATGTTTTAATTCGGTATGTATGTTTATGGTATTGTTCGTAATGCGCATAAGTCCAGTTTTACAAATTTTTATTACATATTTTTTTGCGTCTCATAAAGTCTCTAAGCATATACCCGAACTACTATACTCGCTAAAACGACCACTCAGTTCTAACTGCAAGACGCAAGAGTCTCGCAGGTTTAGTCTTGTTCTTGCTTAAAACTTGCACTGTCAGTCTTGGTCTTGCTAAAATTAAGCGGTCTTGGTCTTGATCTTGCGAAAATGCAAGAACAAGACCAAGACTGCAAGACCAAGACCGATTTTGGGCAACACTAAATTTCTTCGTTTATTTGGTGACTCATCTCGTGCTATTCGTAATATCTTATCCTCTGCCATTGTACTAAGCTTCGTTACATTCCTGTTTCCGTTTTGTCACCCATCCATGCATGTCTTTTATATTGCATGCTCTTCCTACGTTTTCGCTTCTGTCACTATTCAACAGACCTATTTCCCTGATATTCTTCGGAGTATTTTCATCTCTGTTGTTTCTAGTAGTCGTCTTGTTTTAGATGTGTCAGGTCTTGTCTCCGCCGTGTATGTTAATACAGGCCCCTGATTCTATTTCATTTCGATGTCAAAATTTAAAAGCGACTACGCCATGACAGTTGCAATCGCTAGCAATTCTCATTCAGTTCGATTTTAGTTCAAAGTGGGGATATTTGCTTTATCATTTTGACACTGCTCAGAATTTGGGTTGGCCGTCTTGTTTATTGGCTGCACGCCTGTTAAATGTTTGTTTTTTTTACGTTACGCCTTTTGTTTCTTGTTTGAGTTGTTAAATTTTAGTGACCATTTTCAGTTATTATATTTTGAATTAAAAGAAAATGGATGGAGATACTGTCGGTGATGGTGGCACTAAATTGTCTGTGGACCAAAAAGAAATTATGGTGGCTTTTGACTTAGTGGTTATATTCTAATATATTTTTAAATTTACTGCAGCTTAGTAATACTTTTAATGATTCTAAAGTATTCTTAAATAAATATATATAAATAAATAAAGTATAAATTCTTAGTAATTCTAAACATTTTGGGTCTCCTAGAGGCATAAACACCCTCCTCCAAATATGGTCCTAATATCCTTATCAAATAATTTGCAACTTGTTTATCAAGGCGGAATTGCTGCCTAAATTGAGCATTACTTAGTGAAAAAGGATTTTGAGTATCCCGTAACATTCTTCTTAAAGTCGTATGACACTATACATTTTCTTGTATCATTTCTTATATTGTTTCTGATATAACAAAAAAATGGATAGTGTCATACAAGCGTATAGTTCTTATATCAGAAACGATACAAGAATTTGTGTCCGCTGCAGTTTCTTGTACAAGAAATGCGCCAACTTGTGCGCAAAAACGTAAAACTTATGTCATAATGGCGGCTGGAGGAGAACTTTGATATACAATTAGACCAAGCAAACATCAGAGAAAAGTGCCCACCAGGCACTAACAATAACAATAACCAAGATTAGAACAGCAGTAGCAAAATTTAAAAACAATAAATCACAGGGATTGGATCAAATAGCATCGGAACTACTGAAAGTAGGAGATTTATTACATTACTAAAAACAATACATAACCGCTCTAAAAATTCGTGATGCGTTTGAAGATTACTTTGTATCTCTAAATAAGAGAGTAGAATTTCAAGAGTATTTCATTCAAATACATGATTGGTGAAAAGAACAAATAAATAATTATTACAACCAAATTATTTATTATTTCAATCTTCCATTACAGCCTGTTGAATATCTTTAAAAATTATGGTTTCCAATTAAGTTTTAATATTGGGACATTTTATTTCTTGAATTTTTGCACCACAGTATTTTAAAAAATAAATCAAAAGCATCTGGCTTGGACCCCTCAGGTACTGCAGTTCTATTTTTATAGAACTGCAGTGTCAAAATTTCGACCAATTATGTGCCGAATCACATACAATTTCTCATAAAACGCAGCCCTATTAATACTTTTTGCCTCAGTTTTCCTTGCAACAATCAAACAAAACAACACCGCCTAAACTGAACCTAATCTCACTTTGTGCTTCTCCCAGTCCAGCCAGTCATGGCACATTTAATATTAATTTCAACTCGAAATGAAATATCAACCACTGTCTTGAAGTTGAAATTAATTTCGATAAATCGAAAATTAGTGACGTCCTTTGGTTAGTTCAGCTGAAATCCACTAGGCTCGCAAAGTCACATTTCGACGTCGCCATATTAATTTCGACATGCTTTGAGTCGAAATCTTAATAAGAATCAGGGCCCATATCTAATTGCTGCTTTAGAGATTCTTGTTTTTGTATCTTGTCTCAGGTGTTTGTTCTTTCAGATTGTGTCATTAAGAAATCTTTCCGCTTTACTTGTTTTTAAGATTTAAAATTTGTTATCGTACTTCTTCTTCAATATCTTCGTAACTAGTCATATCTATTCCCAGATAATATCTAAACCTTGCTTTCTGCCTTACTATTTTCCCTTCAATTTCTATTTTACATTGTAGTGGGTATTTAGATGTTAGTGTCATACATTTGGATTTTTCTGCTTATCATATTGTAATATTTGAATTACTTTCTTCCTCATTCTGTAATCATGACCTTTACGCACTGCCTGTATTATTTCGTCAATTATTATATTACAGAGAAGTGGGCTTAAGGAGTCACCCTGTCTGACTCTGCTTTGTACTGGTATGCACTGTTTAGTTTTTAATACAATTCAATATCAAAGTATTTATTGTTAGTTAATCACATCTCACAGTGTTTCCGTAGAAAACACTAAAGCTAAATCTGTAGAAAGCACTGAGCCTACTGCTAATGACATTCATCATCATTATTTTTGCGTCCACTTTCATTTTAGGGTCGCTATTCGTATTATTACATCAGTGACCCATAGGCGTGGCCACGCTTTTTACTAGTCCAGTTGACAGAGAGTTTATAACTGGACTAAGAATCATACGAACAAGTTGAATTTTGCCGAGAATAATAATTCTGAGAACGCAAAAAATGCAAAAAAGTTTATTACTCAAAACACCCAGCTTCTACCTAAATCTTCCGTCGTAGGGGAGTAAAAACACAACAAAATCGATTTACCAAGAATGTGTACGTCGTAGAAAAAAATGTTTGAAATAAAAAAATTAGCTGAGATTATTTTAAACAAAAATGTTTAATATAACTTTTTGCGTAGAGTGAACCGTTCTCTCAATAACAACGCTTGAAGCGAAATTCGGTTTTGAATGTCAGTTACGTGCGCGAAATCAATGTTCAATAAAATTTGTATAAGCTTGACGGTAAAAATTCGATATCTTTTGATCCAAGTACACTATC